CATGTGTCTCCAGTTCTACTATCACATGTATGGTGCAGACATGGGGACATTAACTGTGAAATTAAATGGAATCAAATTGTTCAATGCAAGGGGGGATCAAGGCAATTTGTGGTTGGGAGCGGCTTTTGATGTAAATTTATCAGGAATGTACACGGTAAGAGATTATCATGGCTACTGTCAGGAGGTGCCTTGTTTACTCCAACTATAAGTTCAACTTTGTTTCATTTTCTGTGCTACAGTTTACATGTACTGGCTGGCCAAGGTGCAATGGTATTTTCTTCTCTTTTTTTTTGGGTTGGCAGCAGATATATTTGATCATTGCAACACTTACATGACATCAAACTTATATTACATAATATTTACTAACATTACTTATTATCTACTTGGATAGAAATTGAGAGCAAATAGTCTTGACGAATCATTTTAGTAAAAATCTACTTGTCCTGACAAGCTAAACTTTTATTATTTAATTAAATCCTCTTCACAGACACTTTAAATATGCAAAGAAGTGGCTGCCATTTTGTTAACAAAGTGTTTCGCGTACTGTTTGGCTACTGAGTACATGTATCTACAACAGAACTAGATACATATACATGTATTACAGCTGTAAGTTCAGCAGCCAATGAATGATTTGTTAGTAATTGGATACTCATGTTTGCGCAAAGAACTCTGGGATTGTCAGGGGGCAAACATTGCTAGTCGCTAGAAGGAATTGTATAGCGAAAAGTTGTTTTGAGGTACAAAAAAACCATTTTGGAGTGAGATCAACACTTTTTCGCTGTTGTTGGATAGTGTTGATATGTGGAAAATTTATGTGTTATTCAATAATTAATTCCCATGGCAACCCCTTTCTTGGTTGAGAGTTGGTTACATGTAACTCTTCAATTGCACAGTCCCATGAGTGATTTTGATATTTTGGTAACTTTTAACTGGCTAACTGCTAATACATGTAGCCAGGGTTAACTTGTCAAGGGCTGTTATATGCCCGTTGGTAGTCAGTTGGTCATGTAGTATTGTAATCCTACTCAGTATTTGTTATGATATTAAACCGTCCCCAATTTCCATCTCTTGTAATGATTGCAGGTTACATTTGAAGCAACAAAGGGACTTGATTACCGAAGTGACATCGCAATAGACGACTTTATGTTGGAATCAGGATATTGTCGTTCAAGTGAGTGCATAAGAGAGTTAGTGGAACAGTTTTTGATGACTGGATTGAATATTATAACAACTATTAATAGTAAGCTAAAGGACTGGAAATTACATGTGCATGTAATAGTCTAGAAATTGAGCACTTGAAAGATGCATGCATGTAGAATGTTGTTGCTGCCCCAGCTAAATCTTCAAATTGAAGAAACATTAACCCTCCTCAATATTGAAAGAATATGTTTATTGTGCAGTACCAGAAAATATCCATACTCCCCCCACAGAAGGGATTGGAATTCCGGGGGGGTGGGGGTTCTCTAAGACCAAAAAATTTAAAGAAATGTATCAAGTTTAATTGGAATTTCCAGAAGGGTAAGGGGGCGGGGGGTCTTGGAAAAAATCCATTCCATTGGGGAGGTATGGATATTTCCTGGAACTAGATATTACAAGGGTTTTATAACGCCAGGGACAAATTTCAAAGTACTTAATAGGATATTAAATCAGGGCTCAAAAGAAAGGTTGTCAAATAAGGTATACTGATCAAAGAAAGTATGTATTGTATGTATTCATTTATTAACTATCATTTTATATTTCTATTTTTTTAGCCTTTAGTTGCAACTTTGATACATCCATGTGCGGTTTTGTCCAGGATAGTAATGATGACTTTGACTGGACACGACATCAGGGAAGCACTCTTTCTAGTGGTACTGGACCATCTGCTGACCACACCACTGGAAATGGTATGAATATAGACCTTCCTTGATTACACCTTCCTCCTTTACTTCATTTGAATATAGGAAGTGATCTTGTTTATTGTTTTAGTGGAATTTTATACCCAAGGAGGGGATCTACATGTAATAATAAATATAATAAGGTAAAACTAGTTTTTTAACAAAGGTCATGTGATTTTGTTTTGGTTGTGAATTTACATACAAATAGAAAGATGCTCTTTCAAACTCAATAGAGTCTTTAATTCGTTCTTCATGATTGATGACATAGAAACACCATAAATGATATAAGTTGATAAGTTTGGCATGCAGCAGTGCTAAAGAAAAATGGAAGAACAAATCTTTCAATTGAGAGTACTTACATAGCAATGACTACACACCTTGATCAGATATACATGAGCAATGGACATCACAACTGCACAACAGAGCAGCATGAAAGGCTAAATCCGTAATCTGACTCAGTTGACTGAGTTGATGAAAATTGAAATTTGGCTTGGTGCCTCC